TTAATGCCGCCGCCTCTCAGGTCAAATTGACTCCGTCTGGAGAGCAGAGCAATCAGCCGAGCGGAGCCCCGCGCAGTAAATCTTGACCTTAACGCAGAGCTCGCCTCGGGGATTTCCGCTCTGATCTGTGGGTTTAGTCCCTCCGGCTCTCCGCTGCCTCTCTGGGCCGATGAGCGGCGGCTTTCCAAGCCGAACCCAGCCGAACCGGCGGAGGACGGGAAGCTGCGGATGAACAGCTGCTAACAGCTTCCTGCCGGGATCAGGGCCGAACCTGATCCAGAGGATTCAGCGGGAAACTCTGCAGCTGTTTGACAGCTGAGACACCGAACCGGGCCAAATGAGTCGAACTCCAGTAGCTTCCTGTGTTCTGTCTATCGGTCAGACCTCGTGGTAATGCGCATGCGCACATCGATGTTTCGTTTCTTATAAATCCATCATACCTGTAGGAGTTTCATTTTGTGTTTTATTTCTCAGAAGTTTACGGTAAATAAAAAAAATAAAATAAGAAAAATCTAGTTATTTCCATGCAGAGTCCAGAAAGAGGTGATGTTCTGCTTGTAGCCCAACAGCTTCGGTCAGCATCCAGCTACTCATCAGCTTTTTTAGGACATATTCCTGCAGTTTTCTAAAGAGGTATTAAAATACTAAAAAGGTAGATTAGCTATACGGACAAAATATCCCGACCACATTTGTAGTCAAACAGTATTTGTAGTAATAGTGACGCTAAACGGGACGAATGTCTTGTTTACAGTTTGGTAACAATATTGGAAACAGCAAAAGTCATTTATGTTAATATGTTTGATTAACATAGCAGCTTAATTAAATAAAATTTACCGTAAACAAAACATACAGGTATGACGGATTGATAAGAAATCTGCTGAGTAAGCAGTATGTGACGTAACATCAATGTGCGCATGCGCATTACCATAAAGTATGCTGGATTTACGGTATGACAAATCAGAACACCTGTTCTGCTGCTGTTCCCAGATCTGGACCCAGTTCTGGTTCTGCCTTCAGTCACATCCAGGCATCCAACTTCAGGTTCATAGACCAGAGGAACTTCCTGTGGACCAGAGGAACTTCCTGTGGACCAGAGGAACTTCCTGTTTCTGACGGAGCGTTAATGAACATTTAGATCCAGAATTAAATTTGTGTTTTGAGTTTCGGTTGGACCGACGCTCCTCAAAGTTCTGGGACGCGATCAGAGATCGATGTGTTGCTGCCCGCGGCCCAGCTCGGCCCGCTCTCCCCGTGTTCAGAACCCTTTCCTCGCTGCAGCAGCAATTCTTCTCCTCTGAAGGAAAGGAAGCGTGCGTCTGCCGAGTGTTTTCAAAAAGCTCAGCCATCAGCAGCAGATGAGCAGATGAGCTAATTAAACGGCTACTTTTTACAAGTCGTCTCAATAAATCTGAGTAAATGAACAGGCGTTTCTACGGCTGCTACATTAAATCTGCATCCAGCATTTAATGGATGTGCAGGAGGAGAGCGGCGCTCTGCCACTGTGAAGCCGCTGAATTAGCATAACTACTTCCAGCATGTTTCTTAAATAATGCTCTCATTTGCACATCACTGACTTGGCTAATTCAGGCTGCAGTGAGGGCGGCCTCGTAATTAAAGAATCCCACTTTAATTTTTAATGAAGTTTATGTTTCATCAATCCTGACAGTAATGACGGGGCGCGGAAACAAAAAGGCTGCTAATAATTAAATTCTCCTGCCGCTTTGAGGGATAATAACTCCTGAGGAGGAATTACTGACTAATTATTAATTAGACATTCAGACCTGAGATCAGCTTTAACGAGCCGGAAGCTAAATCAGGTTCTGATCCGATGTCAGGCCATCGGGTGTGACTGGGATCACACTTCTTTTCCCAGTAGCTCTGGAGACGTTCCCGACGGTTTTCCCTGGTCTGCGGCTGCAGCCGGAGTGACGGAAAAATGACGTTTTTACCTAATTGAATTTAATTTTCCGTTTTTTTATCTACCTGTTATTGATGTGCAGCAATTAGTGTATAAAATAAACTCTGACCTTTATTTTGATCCTCCTGAGCTGCAGACGGGTTCTACTGGACGGTCCAACCCAATACGATGGATCCTGGAGGTCTTCTCTGGGTTTCCGGGTCAGAACCTCTCACCACCAGCCTGGACTCCCAGACCTCTGATCTGTCAGATTTTACCTGCTGTCAGAGCAGTGGCTCACCTTGTGGGCGGAGCTAACTCTGGCACACCTGAGCTGCATTCCTCACTCACCTGGAGGCTCTTTGGACGGGTGGAGCATGAAAACATCTCTGAACTCCAACAAAGGAAAGGTTCCTGAAGGGAACTCAGACTTTTAGGTCCTACCAGAACACGATGAAGATGGAGCTGGTTGAACCAGAAGCCCAGACCCAGCCCAGCTGGTCCGTCTGTCAGTGATCGGTTCTGATGATCTATTCACTTTGGATTTAACTGAAGTCAAGTTCTCCTCCAGCACTGAGCAGAAACGACAAGCAGCCCAAAACGTTGAAACATTTCACTTCTGACATGTTTAGTCCTGACCAAAGACTCAGGTATTTAGCTACCTTGGCAACTGAACCTCTCAGGTGTGCAGAGTTCACTGTCTGTGGGACATTTAGCATTCCACAACCCAATGAGATGTTTGACGGAGTCCCAGTGTGTCCAACAGGTGGAGCAGAAGAATGTTGAGAGGATAACGAGAGCAGGAAAAACTCCTGCTCTTCCTGAAGCTCCGCCTCCAGGAAGTCGTCCCAACATGGCTCCTCTATTAACTCTGTAACATTTTTACCAGCGTCGCTCTGAGCAACAGTTGTTAATGAGCTCAGCAGATGTTTGCTAATTGCTGCTGGATAGTCTGAAGGAGCTGAGGAGCCTTGAATGTGGGGCTGAGCCCACCCAGGTGTTAAATGGTTCAAAGGAATTCTCTAACATGAATTAATCAAAGCAGCACTCCAGGAAAAAACATGAAAACATGATGAAAGATCAAAAAGGTTTATTTTATGTAAAACTGGCTTTTAAAACTAAAATAAGTCCAGGTAATGCAGCACAGGAGAGCAGTAGGAGAAGGTGGTCAGTTTGTCCTGTAGCAGCATGACTACAGCCAGCGCTCAGGATGACCCCAGCCTCAGAGGAAAGAATCCAGGTCAACTGGAGTTGGTTCCACTGGAGAGCAGACCTCCTCCCATTCAGAACCTCCAGAACCAGCAGAACCTCCAGAACCAGCAACCTGCAGGCTGAACTGGACCAGTCTGGTTCTGATCTGTCTGAACTCTTCTAAGGTGACTTTCCTTTGACATGAGGGGGCGGAGCCACATGACTGAAGAAGAGTGTCAATTTAAAAAACTATTTACTTGGATGACGTCAGAAGCTGAGAGCCTGTGATTGGTTGAGCAGCAGCCAATCAGAGGGCCCAGCATGTCTGCTTTTATTGGCTCTGAGGAAATATTTGCTTCGTGTTTGTGTAAACTCTGTTTGTTCTGATTGATTTAACTTTCCCCAGTTAAATCAATATTTCTGATCAAATGCATACATTTCTTTATTTCCAGTTTTGTAAAACATTTTGTTCCAGACTCAACTCACCAATAAGTAAGAAAAATAAAATAGATGCATTTCCATCTTTTTAAAAGTATAAACTAATTATGTTTTGGTTCCAAGTTTCAAAGAAAATGTTTCATTTTGCTTAAATATAAAATTTAATACTAAAAATTAACAACTAAAAAATGCACTAAATAAAATCGTATGAGAGAGAAGAACTGAATAATTCAGCAGTTTCATTTTAATTTATTAGGTCAATAAAATAAAACAAATAATTAAACAAGCAACACAAATACGATCAAATAAACAGAATCTGAGCAAAAAGGGAAATTACAAAATTATTTCACAATAAATATAAATTAATGAGACTTTTAACCCGACTGTCACTTCAGCAGCGCCCGGGTCAAAGGTCAGACGTGTTAAAGTGGTTAAATGTAACCGACCCCCACCAAACACACACACACGCACACACACACACACACACACACACACACACTCCACCCGGTCTTCATGTTTAATCCTCCATCTGCTCCTTCATCATGAAGCTAAAATAAATTCTTTAAACTGTTCAGTGAAATTAATCTTCAATTAAATAATTAAAATCAAATGTGAGAAATAGCGGAACAGAAAAGATGAAATCGGCTTCAACATTTATGACAACAGCGTAAAAAAACCCGTTTCTTTGAATTGTACAAAATGCTGCAATAAAATATTATTATTATTATTATTATTATTATTATTATTATTATTATTATTATTATTATTATTATTATCATCATTATCACTAGTAGTAGTAATATTAATAATAACTGCGCCAACACAGAACTTAGAATTTTAAAATCTTTAAAAACTAAAACCTGACTACAAAAGTTTTTATTAAAATTAAATTACATTTTTAAGGTTAATTTTCCTCGCAGTCCGCGACATTAAAGGAGATTAAATAAAGAAAATATGAATCCAGAAGCAGCAGAGAAAACGAACCGTTAACGTTTAATATTTGGTTTAAAAGTAAAACAAAAAACATAAATTAGATTAAAAAAAGACCACAGAAATTCTGCTCCATTCATTTTTTACTTATTCATATTTAGATTTTTTTATAGCTTGTTTACCTGAGCCTTCCTCCTCATCCTCCTCTTCCTCAGTAGCGCTGAAGAGGATAAAGAAATGGAAGCGGCTCCGGCGGCTCTCAGCGGACCTATTTGTCACAGCAAATTGGAGGGGCCCCACAGCCCACTCAGAAACACGCACCCGCCGCTCCCACGCTCACACCGTGCGTGAGAGGCTCCGCAGCGACCCGCAGCGACCCGCAGCGCGGATCCTCCCCGTCATCAGCCTCCTCTGCCCGGCCGCAGCTCCGCCAGCTGCTCCTCCACTCAACCTGAGCGCGTCCACGTGAGCGTGCACGGCTCCCACACACACCCACCCCCCTTCCTACGTGTGGCCGTCACGTGACTGTGGAAAAGTGTCCCATTAATGAAGCCGCTCCGCCGCCAGCGCTGACAGCCGCGCAGGGAGCCGAGCGGAGCAGAGCGGGACATGGAGGAGGACAGGGCCGCCTAGCGCAGCGCAGCAGCGGCCACAGAGAGCACGGAGCCCCGCAGCCTGCCGGAGGAGAACCGGAGGACCATCCGCTGCTGCTCATCCAACTTTCCCTGAACTTTATCTCAAGAGTTTCCCTCCCAGCCCAGACGGGACCATGCGAGTCGCTGTGCGTAAAGACCCAGTGAGGAGCTGAAAGTTTGGAGAGACTCTGACTGGAGTGATTCGGGCTGTTCGGAACCATGCCGCGGCCCGGCAGAAACACGTACAGCGACCAGAAGCCGCCCTACTCTTACATCTCCCTGACGGCCATGGCCATCCAGAGCTGCCCGGACAAGATGCTGCCGCTCAGCGACATCTACAAGTTCATCATGGAGCGTTTCCCCTACTACCGGGAGAACACGCAGCGCTGGCAGAACTCCCTGCGGCACAATCTCTCCTTCAACGACTGCTTCATCAAGATCCCGCGCCGGCCGGACCAGCCTGGAAAGGGCAGCTTCTGGGCGCTGCACCCCAACTGTGGGGACATGTTCGAGAACGGAAGCTTCCTGCGGCGCCGGAAGCGCTTCAAGGTGGGCGGCGTGCCGGTGCCGGACCCGTTGGGCCCCAGCAAGCCACAGGACGCCGCGCACTTCCTGCATCAGCAGGCCAAGCTGCGGCTGAGCGCGCTGCACGCCGCCGCGCATCTCCCGCAGGTCCCTGCGGGGTACGGCCTGGGCTCCACGCAGCAGTCCGGCTTCAAGCACCCGTTCGCCATCGAGAACATCATCGCCAGAGAGTACAAGGTTCCCGGCGGACTGGCCGCCTTCCCGGCCGCCGGATACCCGCTGCACAACCAGCTGAGCCCGGCCTGGCCGCACATGTACGGCCCGGGCGTCATGGACCCCGCGGCGCCCCTCTCCGTAGCTCCCGCGGACTACTCGGCCTACGGCATGCCGCTGAAGACGCTCTGCCACGGCGGACAGACTCTGCCCGCCATCCCGGTGCCCATCAAACCCGCACCCGGCCTGCCCGCACACATCTCGGCCTTCCTGGCCCACTCCCCGCGTTCCCTGAGCCCGACGTCTCCGCAGGCAGCCGCCGGCCAGGGCAGCCCGGCCGGGCCCGCAGAGCCGCTGCAGTCCGCGGTGGCGGTGCACTGAGCGCCACGCAGGACCGCATGACCGCAGAACGCGGGTCAAGCTGCGGGTTCGTGTCTGTTAATGAGACCTTTGACCTTCCACGGAGCCCGGTTCGGATCTGGAGGTTCGGTGGGTCCAGCAGAGACATGAAGCTGAAGGAAACTCATGAATGAAACCGAACTTTATCGGAACTTCAGAGGAAAGTCCCGGAAAACCAAATATTTCATTTTTTCCTTCAGTTTGTTTCTAAAACTGGAAAACAGAGAGAGAACAGTTCTACCGACGGAACCACGACGGAGAAGCACTTTGAAGGAAGAACCGGAGGCCTCGCTGTGTGTGTGTGTGTGTGTGTGTGTGTGTGTGTGTGTGTGTGTGCATGCTGCTGTAAAAATGTTCCTGAGCATCAAAAAGCATGAATCGTCTGCAGCTCCTCTGTTTGCTTTATTCTCTCGTTGTTGGTGGAAACATTTAAAGAACATATTTTTAAAAATGTTTCATTTATTTCTGGCTCTTTTAAAAAAAAAAAATAGTCCCACATTTTACTCGTTTTTATTTTCTAATTGTTGCAAATGTTGAAAAACTACCACAATTATTTTATCTTCATTTCGCTTGTTTTTAGCCAGAAAAATCAATTTACCGACGTTCATATTGGTCCAAAAACAGTTTGAAACTGAAACCGGACAAACCGAAGCTAAAAGTGAATTTATAATGGAAATGAATAATGATAAGTGGTGTGTGTGTTTCAGGAGCAGCAGCTCACCTGTCCGCAGGTGAAGCTCCAGCAGCTTCTCGCTTCCCGTCGCTTTGAATTCAAACTGTTTTCTTTCAGATTCAGTTTCCCCTGAAATTCTCTGTAATTCAGATGAAAACAGATTTTACTTGATGCTTCTGGAGTTGCAAATTCAGAGTTTTTCATTTTTTACTGATGAAAAAAGTCAGAAGATTTAATATTTCTGTGAATCAGAAACTTTATTTTATTTTACGGGATGTTCATCTCGTTTCCGGCTCGGTTTATTTTATTAATTTATTCTTTTTTTCGTGTGATACCTGGTGTAAAAAAAATTAAATGTATTTTTTAAATTTAGTTTCGCTTAATTTGATCCTACAATGTTTTTTTTTTTTCAAATGTGTTTTCATGAAAGGAAAGAAATTGTTTCCATAAATAAAACAAAAACGCCTTTTTGCGATAAATGTGTTTATTTTCAGTTAAACACACAGGCGCGCGCATCTGGTGTTTTCTAACTAAATTCACCTGTAGCTCGAATTTAAAGAAATGTATATTAAAATAATAAATGACATCTGCGGCAGCGTTATGCTTTCTGTGTGTGTATATGCAGAGGTGGAGATGATCCATAAACTCATGCAAGAGTCGCAATATGTGAAAATATTTTTATTCAAATAAAAGTAAAAAGTCGTCCAAACAAGAGTAAATAAAGTAAAGCGAGTTCTGATCTGAACGTGTTATTTAATATTTTAAAACGACGTCATCACAGAGACAAAATATATGTGCAAATATTATGTTAAAGACTAAATGAGAAAATAATAGAGTGGAAAAAATAATTATGGTTTCATTATGAATAAAACCATAATATCACAAACTTAAACTAGAAGGTGATAAATGTCCGAAAGTGTCCCAAAGAAACAAGAGCAACAAAGCTGGTAGAGAAACAAGAGGTCTCACTCTAACATGATCTAACCCGACCGGCACCAGAACCTCAAAATCAACCAGCTACTGACCAGACTTCTGATCCGGTTCTGTTTGGTCCGAACCAGAACTTTCCATCTCAGGTTCCAGGTCCGTTCATTTCAAACAGATCCGGCAGCTGAAGGTTTTTTAAAAACATACAGCGTAATATAGTAACAGGTTAGTTAAAGAGGTTAGTTAACAGAGTTAGCAGGTTAGTTAACGTGTTAGTAACAGGTTGAAGATGTTTCTCCAGTGCTACAGAATCAGCTTCTTTCAGATCTTTAGGATCTGGATCTTCTTCCCAGGCCCGGTGACATGGGTGGACATTGGTGGGCATTGGGGGATATTGGGGGACGCTGGGGGACATGGGTGGACATTGGNCTAACTAAATATTTAGTTTGTATATTGCTATGTTTATATGTAGTTTGAAATTGACATTTATAAATGAATGAATAACATGATGAAAATATAAGTTGAATCCTCATTTTTCCTCTTTTTACAGGTCAAATAACCTAAATTATTGCTGTTAATATTTGACTGTAACTTTACAAACAGCGCTCTAAATCTCAGAACTGGTTTTAGGTTCTCTTTGGTTTGGATTTATCCCTTCAGTACCAGTAAAGACCAGCTACGTTTTCATGAAAGTGACAGAACCAGTTCCATCTGCTTGGTTGGGTTGGGAAATGTCTGAATGAAGAATCATCCGATCAGGTTCTTGGTTCTGGACAGGATAAAACCTTCATATTTCCACTAACAGGAAGGGGACATCAATAGAAACTTTATGGAGATTTCTAGAGAGTCTTTCGCCTTCCTGTTTTCTCTGATCTCACTTCCTGTCAAGACGGACTGACCCTCGGCTTCACATCCGCCCCTGCTCGGTTTCAGCCTGACAGGTCAGTGCGCATGCGCAGAGCCGGGTGTCCGGTGTCAAACCGAGCAGCTGTTGAGTTCGTTCAGGGCAGAACCGAACCAGCACGTGCTGCACAGTCTCTTTAACGGAACGGACCTCGTCCCAAAGCCGACACAGAACCGGGATCCAGCCGGTACAGACACTCGGAGTCCTATCCGGTACCAGTAGGAAAGCTAACGGAGCTAACGGAGCCGAACCGTCTGCTGACCAACAGGCCGCGGTCCGGTCCCGTCCGGACCATCTCCGCGTTTCAGACCCTGCTTCTGCTGCTGCTTGGAAAGGTTCTGTCTGAGAACCGGTTCGGCTGGAAGACAGGAACCGGACATGCTGATAGGTAAAGAAGGCCTGACCCGGTTCAGGGGGAGGTACCGTGAATCTGGGTCCAGCCAGTGTCTCCACCAGACTCCATTAAAAACACTTTTTACTTTATTTCTGTCAGTTTGGATCAGGTGGTCCAGAGATGCTCCAGCTTCCGGTCTAGATCAGTTGACCCAGAAATACTCAAATTCTGCTGTGCTGCTTTAATTTTTAACCCTTAAATGTTCTGGTTCCGAGCTGCTTCTATGAAGTCCTTCATGGTCAGAACCTGACCAGGTTCTGCTGGGGTCCGGTCAGAAGCTGCAGGGGAGGTCCAAATTATGAAACAGTAAGAAATGATGAAGAAATTTTCTCTAATGCCGAGCAGTTTCACCCGGTAGAGTCTGATTAACTTAGCCTGACTCTACTGAGGAACTCTGGTTATCTTAACCTCAAAGATTCTGGTTAGTTTAATCCTGAAGGTCTATGTCTTGGATTTGGCGTGGAGCAAAGCTGCGTTCCCGTGTTTTCTGTCTTTGTGAGGAGCCTTGGCTCTAAATAGCCATGATGGAGTCACTCGGTGGTTTGATCCCCGACTGCTGGAGAGCCAATCTTATCTGATGAAATATTTGAGTCTGGCATTGGGCCCTTAAGTTCTGTCCAGAACCTGAAGTCACCGGGTTCTGATTCTGGTGGTGAGTGATGGAAACGGACTCTGACTGTTTGTTGTTTTTCTCAGCGGCTGTCGGAAGCTCCGCCCCCACAGGCAAGAAACGACGGCGAGGCAAGAAGCACCGGAGAGTCCGAGCTGACGGCAGCCGGTAGGAACGCAGATCTCACACGTAAAGACAAACATAAACAGTGAGGGGCGTGTCACAGCAGGAAGTGATGTAGCTGCAGAGGGAGGGGCTTATCAGGGGGAGGAGTCTGCAGATCAAAGTGATTGAAGGTGGACCTGCAGTAGAAACCCGCCATGTTCTGGTTATGAATGATTTTCTTTCCTGGTGTCAGTCCGACAGAACCGGGTCGGCTCACCGGAATCACGCACTGACAGACGCAGGTCCGCTGACCCGCAGACTCATGGAGCCACAAATAGAAGCAGAAGCTGGATCCAGAGCCGTCGTGCAGCAGCTCCATGTGACATGTCCGAGCTTGGCCTCAGCAGCACCGAAATAGCCTGAGCACGCTCACTGGGGCCGACACATGAGCTGCAGACGCCGTGACATCATGTGCAGCTGTTTTTAGTTTACACTGGTCAGTCAGAGCTCATGGACACCGTCAGGACCGGGTACTGCATCCCTCCACATCATCCCAGACATTGCCATGACGGACCGGACTGAGCGCGCTCAATGTGGCGGTTAAAAGCTTCCAGTAAAATGATCTTCTGCAGTTACCCGAGAGAACATTGCTTCTGTTCTTTCGGTTACACATTGCCAATAAATAAAGGGTTTTAAGGTAGAGCACAGACCTTATTACGATTCTGCCTAAAGCAGATCTTGCAAAGGAGTTGTATGTGTACCCAATTCATTGATAGTATCGAGGAGAGCGAGGTGTGGTTGAAACCTCCAGGTATCAATCATCAGACAGATGGCAGGCAGAGAGATGTAGGAGTCTGGGATATGATCCCGGGGCCACAACTGCATCAGTCCTGGAGGTTGAATTGGACTCGGATAGAAACCTTCTGCATAAATCCGGATACAGAGATGACTAATTAGATTAAAACTGACAGACGTTTTTATTGTATCATTGTTTTGTTGTGAATAAACTGGATCAAAATGGAATTTTCCATTCCAAATGTTGCATTCTGAAATTGTTTTCCATCCTTATTTCCCTTTTCAGGCCTGAAGAGGGCAGTGATTTTCTGAAGACTGATGGTCCTCCCCTCCAAATACCATTACAGAATGATGCCCAAAAAGACCAGCTCCCCCCAGAAGGTCCTACAAACAGCACAAATGGGGAAGGTCCAGAGGGTCCAGAGCCTGGCACAATTTTCCCCGAGAGATCCATCCAGACACCTTGCCTTCAAGGTCCCCAGCAGTCCCTAACGTCCCAGATTCCAAACCAGACAACCCAGTCACCTGTTCCCCAAAGCCCCCACCACATAAACCAATCACCCCATTCCCAGAGCCCCCATCAGAGAGTCCAGTCACCACGTCATGAAAGTCCCCACCAGAACACCCAGTCACCTGTTCCCCAGAGCCCCCACCAGACCACCCAGTCACCTGTTCCCCAGAATCCCCACCACATAAACAAATCCCCCCATTCCCAGAGCCCCCATCAGAGAGTCCAGTCACCACGTCATGAAAGTCCCCACCAGAACACCCAGTCACCAAGTTCCCACAGTCCAAACCAGATTACTCAACCACTTCCTCCTCAGTGCCCCCACAAGATAACCAAGGCAGTGCATCAGCGGAGCATAAACCAGATGGCAATATTCACTCCAGAACCTGTGGAAACTATAATGCCTCCTGACATTACTCTCAACAACTCCCAGTGTCCTAGCCAATCATCTTCTGCTGCATTAGAAAGCTTTGGCCAAAGTCTCAGAAAGTCACCACCAGATGTTAACAACATTACCCAGAATGCCTCAGCACACGGTTTTACTGAGTTCTTCCAACCACCAACCTCACCTTACAGCGTTACCTCTGAGACTTCTGCAGTATTTGCACAAAACCCTGTTACACCTCCTCCCACTACTATGTTAAGCCCCACCCACTCCGACCCCTTCCTCCTGACCTCGATGACCTTTACTTCCAGTGCCTCCTCCCACTCTCTGTGCTCCTCCTCCTCTCTTCTCTGTTCTCTGGATTCTCCATTCAGTTTCCCTCCCATGACATCATCTGCCCCATCTCATCTGGCTATGCCCCCTCCACGTCAGAGCCCGCCTCCTGTAGAGTTAACCCCGCCCCCAGCCCAGTTGCTTGGCTCTGATGATGAAGAGCAGGAAGACCCTTCAGATTATTGTAAAGGTGAGTTGATTAAACCCTCGGGTTTACTACTGACACCTGACCATCTTCTCACCTCTACACAAAATGGCTACATGAAGTAAACTTCAATATTCTGTGTTGCAATAACATTTTTGCCTCTCAAGTTGAAGAGAAGCTAGGACAGTGGAGCCATGTACCTCTCTAAAGGGCTAGTTTGAATGTGTGAGAAGTTATCAGTTGTACTTCCCTGACTTGTAGTAGAAAGATATCATCACTGACAGCTTGTTGGAATCTGTAAGCTAGCAGCCAGTCAGATGCACACTGTCCGTTTTAACCGACTTCAGCCATTCAAACAACTCAAACCGAACATGTTCTTGTCCTTTTAACACTTCTTTATCCTGTGGGGGGAGAACTTCCTGTCAGGTTCCACCTTGGACAGGTCGCCAATAGAGCACAAAGACCAGATTACAATCCTGCCTAGAGCAGGTCTTGCAGAGAACCTGTATGTATCCCCAAAACATTGACAGTACAGAGGAGAGAGAGGCATGTTTGAAACCTCTGGGTATGGAAATGCTGGAATCATATTTGCCTCCAGCCATCTAAGGCTACAGCAGCATAGCTACTAAGATAGCTTATGATAAGCTAAGCTAGTCTTGTAGACTGATGCATCCTCTAGACCAGGAGCGGGTAACACCAGTGCTTGAGGACCACACCTGAGCCAAATGACCAGGTCGTTAGCAGGACCCTGGAAAAGTTGACTGCATACTAAGGAGGTGATTCAGCCGTTTGATTGAAGTGTGTTAGACCAGGGACACGTGTAAATGTTGCAGGACACTGGCCCTTGAGGACTGGAGTTGCCACCCCTGGTCTCGATCCTTAGGCACTCTGATTGGAGTGCACCGAAGGTAAATGCAGTTTACTGAGCATAATTTCAAAATGGAACTCATGTGTCTATAAAGTTCCACAGGTGACAGTCCACATCAGGGCAGAAACCAAGAAGTGAAGTGAAAGTAAATGTCTGTAGACCACAAGGACTGGATTGGTTCAAGGAACAAATTCCAGAAAAGGATGATGGATGCAGGACAAAAAACATTCTGGCAACAATGAATGCTATGAAAAGCACTGTGGTCTCCATAATTTGGGAATAGAAAAAGTTTGGGAAAACCAGGACCATCCATGTTTCTGTCCATCTACCAACCCACTTAAAGGAACGGGGTCTTGGTGAGAGAAGTGACTGAGAGCATTCAGTAGGTTAGTCATTGCTAACACACTTCATCAGTCAGTGTTGATGATAGATTGGCCAACATTTCAAACAGAAGTCTTCTCATGTTGTCACTGTCAGGTATGTGTGGATTGCCCTGTATCTGGAGACAAGTCTCACTCTGTGGTCTCTGACTTTCCAGGTGGATACTACCCAGTAAAGATCGGAGACCTGTTCAACGGCCGCTACCATGTGGTCAGGAAACTGGGCTGGGGACACTTTTCCACAGTGTGGCTCTGCTGGGACCTGCAGTCAGTAGTGACTTGTGTTTGAAAAGCATATTTCCACAGATCAACTTGTTTCAGACTCTCAATGTATGTTTTCTTCAGGAAGAAGCGCTTTGTGGCCATGAAGGTGGTGAAGAGCGCTCCTCATTACACCGAGACGGCTCTGGATGAAATCAAACTGCTGCGATGTGTGAGTATTTGATGTCCTGATCTCTACCACCAGCGGTTTACTGGTGTGCTCAGCTAACTTATCTCTCTCCAGGTGAGGGACAGCGACCCCTCTGACTCGTACAGAGAAACCATAGTCCAGCTCATTGATGACTTCAAGATCTCTGGAATCAATGGAGTGCGTATCCTTGACCATGAGCTGTCCTTCTGCCCCCAAGCTGTGTCCACCCATTGTCCACCTGTCTCAGTAGTTTCCTCAGCCTTTCTCAGATGTCTGTATGGTTCTGGAAGTTCTGGGTCATCAGTTATTAAAATGGATCATTAAATCAAACTATATGGGACTTCCTCTGGTCTGTGTCAAGACCATCATCCGACAGGTACCACCACCACAAACGTGTTGCAAAGTACTCTTTTGGGTTTTACTTTATTGATCTTTTACCTGGGACGTTGCAAAGGGTCAGTACTTCATGGTTCTGCCGTAACTAGGATAAAGACAATATGGTCATACTGTTATCGGTTATATTTTTAGAGCCATATGCTTTCTAAAGACACTTCCATGGTTTACATCACATTCTTGAGTGTACCATTCAAACTCTGCGCACTTCGTCTGCAAACGGCTCAGATTTTATTGTCTAGGGCAGAGGTTCCCAAACTGTGGGGCGCGCCCCCTAGGGGGGCGACGTGTCATTGCAGGGGGGGCGCGGGAAGCCGTCTGGATGAAAAAAAAACCAAAAAAACATGAACACTGTATGCGCTGGGTTTTTACCTTAGAATGGCCAACTTTCTGTTATTCCTCTGTCAATTTGATACAGTAGGGGCTTCCACACTTCCCATATCTGTGTCCTCTGTCACTTTTATCAGCAGTTAAAACTGTTTAATCCGTTGTTAACATGTAACCTGTTTTTCCGAGCCGCCTTTAAACGCAACATGAGCGCTACGACGCTCGCGCTGGGTTTCCACCTGTGAAGGAGACCTGCTGCTGGGCGGAGCTAGGTAGGTTTGTGTTAGAATCACGGCAGCAAACCAGCAAAACGCAAAGAACTTTTCACAGTTTTTCCCTCCAAACTAACCGACTGAGTTGAGTAAAGCTGCTGGATGCAGGTAATGTTAGCTAAAAGATGACTAGCTAATGTTAGCTAAAGATGACTAGCTAATGTTAGCTAAAAGATGACTAGCTAATGTTAGCTAAAAGATGACTAGCTAATATCAATACAGAACCTTAAGCTTGCTAACAAGTAGCTTGTAGGCTACCGATGTTGGTGTCTATTTTCAGCTACGTACATTCATTTTGCCCCCCAAAAAGTCGATTCAACCAGACAGCCATTTGTAATCCATAGGGGGGGCGCAGAAAATGTTTGGAAACCACTGGGGGGGCGCAGAAGGAAAAGTTTGGGAACCACTGGTCTAGGTCATCTATTGCTTTCATTTCTCATGAATAATCGTTGATTTCACACAATCCAAATGAATGTTTGTTGAGATCTAAGCTCCCTATAGCAGCTTCGTGTTTGCCTCAAGTATGCAGGACCTCCTAGTATGTGGAGGACTTAACTCCGACATGGTGATTAGGACACCTTGACTACATCGTACTCTGGCTGATTGACCTGTAGGCACTTGATGGTTCTGACCCAAACTTGGTTGTGTGTCTGCAGGTGCTGCAGGGACTCGACTACCTTCACACCAAGTGTAAGATTATTCACACGGACATCAAGCCGGAGAACATCCTCCTGGTTGTTGACGATGTCTACGTCAGAAGATTGGCGGCTGAGGCCTCCATCTGGCAGAGAGCCGGAGCCCCGCCCCCCTCAGGGTCATCAGGTGAGGGCCACCAGCTAATTGGACAGGAGGTCCTGGAGGTGTATTTTAGAGTTCAGAACTTCTCCCAGCCAGTCTGTCAGCGTAATTACTGGGACCAGTAACTCGGAGCTGTGGGTTGTGGTTGAACTGGCTTCCTGTGGTTTCCTGTCTTTCCTTCACCTGCTTCTTCTAACTGAACCGTTTCTTCTTTCTGTTTCCGTCTTTCCTCCCTGATGGTTTCCTTCCATCTGTGTGTCTCTAGTTAGCACGGCTCCCAGGGATGAAGAGGTGAGTGCCCAGGTGTGACCTCTGCTGTGTTCTGATTGGTTATCTCACTTTGATAAATCAATACATTTTAGTGGACATAAACGTATCATGATTTCAATTCCAGTTAGTTTTTGGTGGATGTTAGCAAAACCTGTTTTTTTACTTTTATGTGGCCACAGTGACATCAGGCAGGCAGCTGTTATAGCACCACCTAATGGCTGTCAGAGAAATTACATATTTAGAAACTTCACCTTAAGTCCCAGGTGTCACATGACCTGCTTGTCCCCGCCCCCATGACCACACCCACTTCCTGAGGCAGAAACTGATCAACACAGTTTGAAATAAACTGCCTGGCTTCGTGTGTGTGTGTGTGTGTGTGTGTGTAGATGGGGAAGTTGTCAAAAAACAAGAAGAAAAAGTTGAAAAGGAAGGCAAAGCGTCAACAGAAGCTCCTAGAGGAAAGGCTCATGGATATACAGGTACACCTGTTGTACCTCATACATACTGGAGTAACAGTACACACACACTCCATGGATCCAACAGTGATGTAGCAGCAGCCAGTCAGATGAACACGAGTGCTTCTCTGTGTTTCCAGAGGATGGATGAGGAGGAAGGACTACAGCAGCCTGACGATGCCGACCCGACCTGTGAGTAAAAACGGCCTGTTGGACGTTAACGGTTTATTTTAGTCTGATTCGTGTGCAGAGGAGCGTTAAACCCCACGCTGCTCCCCGACGCGCCCCGCAGGGCTGCAGCACCAGGCACCCGTCCACCCATGTTGTTTGTTGGATGGGCGGTACTGAAATGTCAGCTTTCTACCTGCGGAATAATATAGTTAATTCATTAATTCATTCATTCATTCCAGCAAGTTGTTTAAAGGTGTTTAAACCAGGAGTTGTCCAGGTCAGTTGGTGGTTCCAGGCTCCATTTTTCACCTTAAAGAAAACATTGTAGTCACATGATGCATCCAGCTGTAGTCAGTCGTTGATTCAGCAGGAATCCCTCCTGCTGAGCAAACGGTGAGGAAGAAATCTCCTCTAGTCAGACTGAGTTACTCTGACATGTAGGTAACTTCTTGTTTTACATGGTTTGTCTGGGTGTGTTTAAAAATCACTAGCTTAGCATTAGCGTTAGCTGTTTTTCACACTTTGATCCAGAGTATGAAGACGGGTCTGAGTAGGTCTGTGAATGTTTTGGCCTTGGCAGATTTTGTGAGTTGCATTCCCTGAACTGCCAGTGAATTGTTGTCTTGTTGGTGACTGTCCTCCTTCCTGCTGCGAGGCGTGGAAACATGAATGTTTTCTCGTTCTGTATAAATGTCCATTAAACTAAAACACAGCAGAAATGTTTCTTTGTTCTCAGGTTCTGTGGTCGTCAACGGCAACACTTTCTGCTCCACAGCCAATCACAAGCCAAGCCCAGATTCCAGCAGCTCCTGGTTGGACGACAGGTTCAGTGACCCCGCCCCCGGACGGTTCTCCAGCCCCGCCTCCGGCCTATCAGGGCTCTCCAGCTCAGTGATGTCGGCGACCTCCGAGTCGGCGCTCTCCACCCAGTCGGGATACTCCAGCGGACGAGACGGTGAGACGTTCAGTCGTTACGATGGAGAATTAGAGCCAGATTAAGATGTTTTCTTTTTTTATTGTGAGAATGAAGTCTGGATGTTAAGAGAAGAAAGTTAGAGAATTATGAAAAGTTGCTTTAATGAGAGCAAAGATTTGATTTATCAGGATCTGATGTCTGAAGTATTTTGGTTTGTAAAACCAAAACCAAAGTATAACTAATTGTTTTGATCACTTTTATGGAGGATTCTGTTTCTTTCTTCTGTAATATTTAGACTTTAGATTTATTGTATAATGTTATTCTTATTACACTGTGACTGTTCTCATGTCATTTTATTGTCGTACAACTTTTTCCTCGTAATATTTTATTCTCATAAAATTATTTAGTTTATTCTTGAAATGTGAAAAAATATCCTGGCCAGGATTTTCTTGTAAAAGAGATTTTTAATCTCAAAAAGATTTTCTGGTGAAATAAACATTAATAAATAAAAGATAAGTTTTCTGTTGTCTCTCTGTTCTTAGTTTGGATCGGGAGTCTGAAGCAGAACTTTGATCGTATTGGACGTTGGAAAGTGAACATGTTTGGTTTTCTAGCTGTTTGGTTGGTCGGTGTCGGTATCAGACTGTGTAATGGCGCTGACTCACCAGCAGGTGGTCAGCGATCTGATTGGCTGAGTTTGTGGCCAGTCCCAGCAAAGTTGTTCTCTTGTTGGCAGGATTCAGTTCATCGGACTTCGTCCTGAACCCTCTGGACCCGCAGAACGCCGACCGGCTCCGAGTGAAGATCGCTGACCTGGGGAACGCCTGCTGGGTGGTGAGACATCTTCATCTTCTCCTCTTCCTCCTGTGCAGCGCCGACCAATCAGACGGCTCCCTCTCTCCTTCACTGTGTCTGAGCAGCACAAACACTTCACCGAGGACATCCAGACCAGGCAGTACCGGGCCCTGGAGGTTCTGATCGGAGCAGAGTACGGGCCGCCGGCAGACATCTGGAGCACCGCCTGCATGGTGTGTCTGCGCGCACGCACACACACACACACACCCACACACACACACAGTCGATCATTTTCAGAAAGTTTCTGTTGGATTTCTGGAAGCTCCTCAGAATAATTCAGGTTTCACACAAATGGCTGCCCCTGCTGGTAGACTAGAGAAATGATCAGTTTCAAACATTTCAAAGGTTCTGATGTTTTAGTGGCAGCTCTCTGCTGCCACCACCTGGTGACCCCAACTGTCTCTCAAACATTGACGTAATATTATTACTAGACAATTTGATAGGCTGGAAGATAATAATAATAATAATAATAATAATAATAATTAATGCCATTATTATTATTGTTATCCCCAGTGAAGAGTCTGTGTTATGAGTTGATTTGACAATAACTTTTTATGATAAATATAAAAATAATTATATTTATCAAATATAAGTGGTTTATTGTCACTTATTAATTGACAGAAAACAAATTAAATACAGCAACGATATGCAGCCCCTCCAAGACGCTGCAGGGGCTGCAAAACATGTTTGCAGCAACCACCATAACTTGGTTGCTGCAAATAACTTTCCCAAAATGGCACAAAACATAAAACCGGGTCCAGAACCAGGTCTGACCTGTTTTCCTCCTCCAGGCGTTCGAGCTCGCCACTGGGGATTACCTGTTCGAGCCACATTCAGGAGAAGATTACACCAGAGACGAAGGTAAAGCAGAGGAGGGTTCTGGTTTGGTTCTGGTCGGGTTCTGGTTCTGTACTTCCTCAGTGTGTTTAGTTGTGTAACCTCTCTGCAGATCACATCGCCCACATCATGGAGCTGCTGGGTCCACTGCCACTGCCCTTCGCGTTGTCTGGCAGGTACTCCAGGGAATACTTCACCAGGAGAGGTGAGACCCGCCCACAGGTCCCACCGGGCTCTCTGATTGGCTCTCTGATTGGCTGTTTCTCTCGGCGTACCTGTCCAGGTGAGCTGCGGCACATCTCCAACCTGAAGCCGTGGGGTCTGTTCGAGGTTCTGCTGGAGAAGTACGAGTGGCCGCTGGACCAGGCGGCGCAGTTCAGCGACTTCCTGCTCACCATGCTGGAGATGGAGCCGGATCGCCGCGCCACGGCGGCGCAGTGCCTGCAGCACGTCTGGCTGCACACATAGCACACACCTGCACACACACCTGTCTCACTGTGACTCGCTGACCCGTGTGGTCGGAGATGCCTCTGCTGATTGGCCGACTGGTCAGTGGGCCGGGCCGATGAACGGTTTAGCCCCGCCTCCCCTCTGAAGCTGACCACCAGTCACACCTGAGGAAGCCTCACCTGTCTGAACTGAGCTGAAGTCGATACTCAGAGACGACCTTTGACCTGGCCAGGTGAAACCATCCAGATGTTTAGTCCCAGATTATCAGCTGCTGATCACCTGGACAGGTGAACTGTCAGAGCTGACTCCAGAAATCACTTCAGTGCTGCTGTACCTCACTTCCTGTTAGACTTCCTGTCCTGTCTACTTCCTGTTTTTCCACCTGACTTCCTGTCTTCCTTTCATACTCACTTCGTGTTCCTCACTGTTTTCCTGTCTGATTTCTGATCAGTTTTTTGAGTCGATCTGATTTATGAAGCCAGCAGCTCGTCTGTTTCATCAATCGATCAACGACCGATCGATTGACTATCCATCTGCCGATCACCTGATTGGCTGTCAGTCGATCAACCTGTGTGAGTTTCCGGTGCTGAACTTCCACAGATTCGTTGAAATCTCTTTTTCTCTCATTTTCCTGAATTTTAAGTGTTTTTATTGATCTGTTATTCCTGCTTATTGATTATTGATCAGTAGATAACGAGTTTCCACCTGTTCACCTGTTCTGGTGACGTTAGTGCCTTGAAACAGCCCCGCCCCCTACAGTGACATCACTGATGATGTCGGGGGATTTTCTACCTGTTTTTGTGTGAATCTCACCTGGTCAGGTGTTCTCTGGTTTCAGAATAAAAGTCGCCTCAGTTCTGAGTTTTACTGGGTTTACTGGGGGTGAATCAGAACCATTTGGACCTGGTGGTGTAGAACCACTCAGTTCTCTGGGTTCTGGAGGGAAACCTGCAGCGATTGGTTCATTGGTTGTAATTTAACATGTTTCTGTGCTTTAATTAAACCTTTTCTTATCAGCATCACTGGTTGTGAAATTATGTTCCATCCTCTAGAATCCTCTAGTCTCCATGGCAACAATCCACCTATGCAAAATGCCTGGGTGGACCTAGCCCCGCCTTCCAGGTGCGGCTCCTTCAGACTAGCCAGCAGCAATTAGCAGACATCTGCTGAGGTCATTAAAGGAGCTGCTGCTCAGAGCAGCGCTGGTAAAAGTGCTAAATGGTTAATAGAGAAGCCATTTTGGGATGACTTCCTGGAGGCGGAGCTGCAGAAAGAGCAGGAGTTCTTAAAGAGACAGAGGCCCAATTTCAAGGTGTTAAAACAGGAAGCAAATTGTTTGTCATATTTGATTTATGTAACATTTTTATAGCAATTGAAGGTAACATTGTTACTGATTATGAGACAAAATGGTGCTATGCTATTGGACAACACATGTTACTGTCCCTTTAAGAGTCAAACTGACCAGACTGGACTAATTGATCACTGATTAAAGCTGATCCGGTTTCTGTATAAAGATTTAATAGCTCAGTTCAGTTGGACCAGAAAGTTCAGAATCTGCAGGCGGAATAAATGCTGCAGGTCAACGACTCGAAGCTCTGCTGCGTTTCCATAGAAACAAAATTAATTTGGATAATAAACCGAACTCGATGCACTGATTAATAGATGATCATTACTTCCACTCTGTGTGACTGATTATTTGGCCTTTTCTTGTAGAGTTTCTTCAGATAATGTTCATCATAAACTGGTCTTATATAAAGTAACACAGTTGAAGATTAGGGTGATGGTAAGGAGACCATCCAACCTTAAAGGCTCATCTCTACAGATAATCAGAAATCTCTTTAAAACTGCTCAACAATTTAAAGAAATCTTTTCTGCTTTCATGCCAATAATAAACTAGGAAAACTATTTTTCTTTTATTATTGAAAATAGTATTAATTAATTTTCCAGTATTTTCTTATAAAACATGAATAAGATAAGCATTGTTTATGGAGAGTTGTTGTCCTTTCTCACTGTTTTATGACTTTCAGACATTTTCTCGGTTAAATGAAAAATAAAGTTGAATCTAAATGATCCAATATTTTTGGTCGTAGCTGTTATTTACCATCAGGTAGTCCAGAAAACACAGCAGCCAGAGTCCTGATCAAACACGGATTATGTTTCTCCCTTCATTTAGCCCCCAGTCAAACCCAGATTATAATCTCAGATTCTCCTTCTCACATATTAATCCCAAAATAATCAATGAGAATTCCCTTTCCTCACACATGTTCTGCTGCACCGCCTGCCTCATCCTGACTCCAGTATGAACGTTGATCTCTGGTCTACAGGAAGTCATGATGCTGCTAGAGTTCACTCTGGAGCCGAGTCGCCCCCTGCTGGGAACCTTAAGGCAGTGTTCCAGTTGTTTCCATGTCAGATTTACCTTCAAACCTGTAAACATCCTGATGGAAAAACATTCAGAAAGTGCATATTGGTGAAATAAGACCCTAAAGAAACGGAAGCTTGAGGTGCAAAGGTCGGACCAAAAATGAGTTTTTAACAAATCGTCTGGTTCCAGACCAATAATCAGTTCAAAATCCCTCAAAGTCTCTGGACCGATCCGATAATCAGCACAGAGACCGGGACTTTGAACCGATTGGCTTTCAGGTTGGACCAATCAATGATCAGGAATCTGGACCAACTATCAACTGATGTGATTTTGTTCAGTTCGTCTCTACAGACGTTTGTTGGTTGACGGGTTTATGTGACCCATTTATAAGCCAGCAGTGATTTTATTGGTTCTGATCCAGTTCTGTGATAATCTGATGGGAATAAACCCCAGAGAGACGGCAGCGCTCCAGCTGCCATATTCCCTGTAATCAATAATCCAGAAGCTTCAAGACGTTTTCATATCTTTCATTTAAATTCTGCTCTGAATACAGACCGCAGGGGGTTAAATACCAACAAAATGTCCAGCAGCACTTATTCATTATTCATGACATCATAAACTTACCTTTCAGAATAAAAGCCGTTATTGTAAACAACTCCACGAAAAACGACTTCATGATTTTAGTGAAAATATTCCAGAACATCTGAAGAAGCTTCAGCAGCTAATTAGCATCATTAGCTCCTAATTGCAGCTAAGGTTAATTAGCACCTGAAGGTCCATCAGCTAATGCTAACTGGCATGGTGGCATTAATAATAAAAATATTTAATATTTTTAGCTTCAAAGAACTGAAACGTCCAGAACCAGTCAGAATTTTACCTAAAGCAGCACAGAACCAGGGAATCCGGGTCCAGTTTAATATGCTAGCATGTGGTTCTGTAACGGTACTGGATCAGATCGGATCCGTCATCCTGAAAGTTTCCACCTGCTTCTGGTTCTGCTGGACCTGAGAGCAGAACCAGAACTGAAAAGACTTTTAATGGTTTTATATTTTTTAATTGATTGGTTCTGTTTAATTTGACCCATTTTAATGTTCTGAATAAATGAAGATAGTTATCCAACTAGTCCATCAGAACCGGATCATCTGGAGTTGGAAGTGCCTTCCTGGAGGCTCCGCCCCCAACATGGCGGCTCCACAGCAAAGTCCAGTTCAAGTCCGGTTTGTAAAGTTCTGGTTCTGAGTTCTGGTTCTGCTCGTCACTTCTTCCTCCGGACCACGGTCCAGCCGTCCTCTTCGTCCTGAGGAGGAGGACGTATGGTGCTGAGGGACGGGCGGGACTCCTCACACTCCATGCTCTGCACACACACACAATATTAATGGACCAACAGGAAGTTCTAATAAACTCGTTACATGCCTACTTTATGGCTATGTTGCTTAGCAACCAGTCCCCTGTTGCATACCTGCGTTTCGCCGTCGCTCTCCTCATCATCCGACTGCGCGGGCGGAGCCGTGACCTTTGCCCTCGGTGTCTTGCTCTGAGTCAGTGTGTGGACGGCGCTGCGGAGCTGCTCCAGCGCCCCCTGCTGCCAGAGGGAGAACAGCTGCAGCAGACGCTGTGACACCTGCAGACACCAGACACACCTGGTCAGGTAGCAGCAAATCAGGAGACAGAGCACAGCTCCTCTGTGTGTGTGTGTGTGTGTGTGTGTGTACCTGAGGTAAGCTCCCGTCCTCCACCACCGTATCAAACTCCTGATCCATCAGCTGAGACAGGAAATCCTCAACCTCATACTGCTGCAGGTCAGCTGCCTCCCCACCGAGACACACACACACACACACACACACACACACACACACACACACACACACACACACACGCACAGACAGTGAGCCACAATTACAGGCATCCAGGGCAGATATAATTTCAACGACACAGAGAACATGGGTGTGTGTCGGTGTCATTGTATGGATCAGATCCACAGGGGGTAGACTATACAATAACGACCAATTTAATGGAAAAGTCTATCTTTTTCTGCTTGGAATATGATTGTGTGTTCTACTGACCTGTGACGTCAGACAGGAAGTGAGGTTCTGTCAGAACATTAAAAAGTTCGAACTGAACAGTTCTGATTCAAACGGGAAGTTATCAGCCGTTACTATGGAGACGTACCGTTGTCATGGAAATACTGCTGAATGACATCCACCATCCAATCAGCTTTCTGCTGGCCGTAAACGCCTCCAAAGCCGTTGTCCACGGCGATCTGAGGGATAGAGGGACAGTTCAGGGACAAGAGGACGCATCCGGAACCGGGTCAGAACCCGAACCGCTTCCAGTCTGAACCACAGCTGAAGAAACATATTAACTTTTTAATATTTCTTATAAATCATCCGCTGGACGCGGTTCTGATGAGTCAGGGTGGTTCTGATCGGGGAGGAGGTTCGGTTCTGATGGGTCAGGGTGGTTCTGATCGGGGAGGAGGTTCGGTTCTGATGGGTCAGGGACGTTTGAGTCTGATGTATTTTTCAAAAGGTCCACTCTCAGCCCGAACCTGTTACTGACAGAAAATGAACCCACTGAGTCATCGCTGAGCAGTACCAGAACCAGAACCAAAACCTGGATCATAACTGGATCTTGAGCAGCTGTTTCTGAGCTCCGAATTAGACCGGTTCGGAATGAGACGGAACCACCCCAAGCAGGAGTTGCTAGCATTAGCTAGATAGTTTCAGCCCACTGATCACGTGTTCCAGTGGAACCGCCTGATTACCTCCTCGTCCCCTCAGACCTGGTTCCGAACCCGGTAATCGACCCGGTTCGGAGCTCACCTGTAGAACCGGCCACGTCTGAAGAACCGCCCGAACTCCCTCCGTGAAGAGTTCACGCGATGCCGTGGAGGCCGCCATCTTGGAATTTCTTCTTCTTGATTTTAATGTCGGCTGGTGCACAAGTGGTGCATACCGCCACCAGCCGGTGAGGAGGACCAAAAACAGCCTGCATCCTTTCAATGAACCCAGTTAGCAGCAAATACAGATAAAATAATGTTCAACATTCATCAGAAGAATTTTTTTTTCATAATCTGATTCTTAGAAGGTCAAAGTTAAATATTTACTTAATAAACAAAATATTTAGGTAGCTCAGAGTTAACTAAACATTGAGCTCAGAATAACTGAAGGTAAATATTTATCTAGCTAAATAATATTTAAGGAGCTAAATATTTAACTTGCTTACTAAATGTTTAGATGGAAATTGTGATATTTATAAAAGAATGGATAACATGGTGAAAATATGGGCTAAAAACAAATTCCCATTGTTTTCTCTTATGATAGGCTAAACAGCACAAATTATTGCTGGTAATTTTTGACTGTATGACTTTATAAATGACAAACCATAAAACTCAAGCATGAACTCGAAGTCGCTGCTTCATCTGTGCTGTGAACCTGGTTCTGGTCCGCTACCCACCAATCCACAGTGGATCTACAGGAACTACTTCAGGTCAACATTCTCATTTTTTCTTCACTTTAGTTTTTTTTTTTTTTGTTTGTTTGTTTGTTTTGTTTTTGAATTCTGAATGATTATGNTGTGGCCGGGGCTGCTTCTTCCTCTCATGTTGGTAGAAAGTTGCTGCGTTTCATTACAAATGTGAACAAATTTTAGTCGATATTCTATTAAATATGACATGAAATTGAAATCACAGGCGAATAAGCTTGTTCACGCGATAAGTCATTAAAAGTCATGACAGTGTTGGATGTAAACAGATATATTCATAATTTACCCGCTTGCGCTCATCATCTACCAATCAGAGGAGGCGTTGCAGCGACAAGCCCCGCCCACTTGGGGGCGGCTACGTATGCGGCGTTTTAGGGAAATTGTAGTCGGCCATTTTATAGAGTAGCAATGGATTCAACAGGTTGGAATGACTCAACTTCCTGTTGTCCAAAAACAAACAAAAAAAGTTAGTTAGCTAGTTAGTGCGGCAAGCAGATGTTTTCAGACCCCTTTACTCTGACACCCCTAAATAAAATCCAGATAATTTAATTTCCCTGTCATGATCTGTGGTTGAGAGTGGTGAGGGAAACCCAGGCAGGCCCAGGTTGTCATGATGAAAGTGGATTTTAATAACGAAGACACAGGTGGGTTTAGATACACAGGGAGGGTAATCAGGGAACGAGACACAGCTGGGATTAATCAACAGGGAGGACAGGACATCACAGAGACTCAGGGAAACAGGACACAGAAAAACCAAGGAATACAGAAACATAGATCACCACATTCCTTTTGGGATTGTTTTTTTTTTTTTTTTTTTTGAATCAGCCTTAGGAATCAGCTGATCAGGAAACAGAGTCCAGATGTTTGTGGTTTAATCTGAATAAAAAAGAAAAAAAAGAAATAAAAAACAAGCAAAGACACAAGAAACATGGTGGAGGCAGCGTCATGCTGGGGGAGGAACCTGGAGGAGAACTTATTAGAGTCTCGGGTCAAGGTTCATATTCCGGCTTGACAATCAGCCTGAGGTATTATGGGATGGTTTCGATCAGAGCAAATTCCTGGGCTAGAATGGCCTAGTCAAAGTCCAGACTGGAATCCAACTGAGTCTTTAGCTAGAACTGAGAACTAATGTTCTACATCCAGTTTGACTGGAGAGCCAGAAGAAGTTCTAAAGGTTCTGACCCAGAAGGCAGAACACAAAGGCATGCCGCACTTTTCAGATTCTATTTGTAAAAACAAAGAAAAAGAAACATCAACATCAACATCAAGGAAGAGGAGCAGAGGAGGAAGAGAAGCAGAGGAGGAAGAGAAGCAGAGGAGGAAGAGAAGCAGAGGAAGAGGAGCTGAAGAGGAAGAGGAGCAGAGAAGGAAGAGGAGCTGAGGAAGAGGAGCTGAAGAGGAAGAGGAGCAGAGAAGGAAGAGGAGCTGAGGAGGAAGAGAAGCAGAGAAGGAAGAGGAGCTGAGGAGGAAGAGAAGCAGAGGAGGAAGAGGAGCTGAGGAGGAAGAGGAGCAGAGGAGGAAGAGGAGCTGCTCCAGATCAGAAACAGAAAAGTTTCCACAGATCCAAACTGACAGAACGTTCTTCAGCTCCCGGCTCAGTTCCAGCTGAGCGGAGCTGGATGATGAGGATGAGGATGATGATGAAGATGTGCTGCTGGAGCTGTAATGAATCACTCCGCCGCTCGTTAATTAGAGGCCGTGGATCCAGGCGGAGTCACCGAACCTTCAATTAGCAAACCGTCAGAAAGGAGGAGACATGACGATGATGAAGATGAAGATGATTACATCACTCCCCTTTGCCCCCTCCCTGCAGTCACTTCACTTCCACCCACGGGTGGAGGCGGTTTCATCAGAGCAGGAAGATTCGGTCCAAACGGAACCAGAACCAAACATGGAGAAGCAGCATTCAGCTTCTATGCTCTACAAATCTGGAACAAGCTTCCCGAAAACTGAAAATCAGCCGAAACTCTGACTTCCTTTAAACACCAGTGGTGGGCGCGCACCCCCCCCCCTCCCCCCGCTAAAGCTAAGGCGCTAATCCGCTGAGGTGCAGCGCTGATGTTCATCTAGTGCTTCAGTGTTTATGCTAACTTTTAAAATATTTAGCGCATAGATCAATTCTAAAGCCAGTTTACTTGGTTGTAACTTTCAGCTGAATAAATTTGGGTTGTGTTGAAGTTTCGGCTAAGAATGATCAAGTAGTTAAACATTTATATTCATGTTTTATTTTGAATGCAACAGTTCCATTTCCTGTCCTCATGTTCTCTCTTCTTGGTTTTCTAGAAACTTTATTGAGCAAGTGACAAATACAACAAATGAATGAATGAACTTACATAAACAATCTGTGTTAAACAAATACATGTTAAAATACAGTTAACCTGTCATTCACAGGTTGTCATTCACAATGACAGGTTAAATATTAATTATTTTGAAAGATTCACATTTTTTTCCTGACACATGGTGGATATCAACATGGTTAAATTCAACAGTTTAGCATTAGCTTCTGATAAATATTATGTTTGCATAGCACTTTAGCATTAGCATCCACTACATACCATTTTGTAGCAATTTAGCATTAGCTTCCATTAAATACCCTGTTGATGTTTAGCTTTAGCAGAGCTAATGCTTATGATCAGTCCTTAGCATAGGTACTTTTTAGGGTAGTGATGTTAAAACTTAGAGTTTCTTTGATTAATAACTGAAATAGATTCATTCCGTCTGGATTTAACGTTTCATCGTTTCCTTTACTTTGCTGCTGTAAAATAAAGTTTCTTGTTTGTTTCTGGTATTTTCATCTGGCAAAGCATCAGAAAAATCCCAAGGAAAAAATATTATAGCAAAATCTAGACTTATGTCATGTAACTGAAGTCAAACTGTTGTGTTCACAGCCAAACAGACTTTAAAAAGAAACTGGAAGAAATGTTTCAATGTTCTAGCCTTGATAAGAACTGGAGCATTTTCTAATGAACAGAATGAGTCCAGTTGGCCTCTGTGGCCTGACGGTGGAGCCCGTTTTGGCCCCGGGGGGCCCCTGGCCCCCGACGTGACCCGGCGCTCCTCAGTCAGTCCTCTCCTGCTGAGGTTCGGCCGCTGTGGCCCGCAGCGCCGCGGCGCGGGGCGCCTGACACCTCGGTGCGGCGGCGGCTTTGAAGCGCGGCTGAAGGTGTGAGTTTACGGCCGTAGAGGATTCCTGAGCGGCTCGTAAATAACCCGCTGAGCGCCACAAAGCGCCGCAAAGTGCTGCAAAGCGCCGCAGGCGGCAGGTCATTACGGCCAGCAGTCTGTTATCATCTCAGCATTCCTCAGCAACAAGCAGAACCAGAACCAACTGGATCAGCAGAGCTGCAGCGCTTCATGAGTCAAAACGACAAACCGACCCGACCCGAGGGGCCTGGAACCGGTTCCGTCCAGATCCATCAGTCATCTTCACGCCTGGGAACCAAACGGGCCTCAACGCCTCCTACAGGAACCCAACGGGTCCGTTCAGGTTCTGCAAACCAACATGTCTCCTTCAGAACACAGTCTGGATCAGAACCAGTCCAGAACCAGAACCAGTCAGATCTGCTAAATGTTAGGAAGCAGAAATGTTCTGAACCGTTCCTTGGACCGGAGGAGAAGGAACCGGTCCAGAAAAGAACCGGCTCAGTGACAGTGTTTCTGTTCCGACCCGGTCAGGCTAATCTGGTTCCTCTCAGATGGAAACAAGAACTCGGTGCAGTTTTGATTCCATTAAAGCTCCAGATCAGAAGAACTAAGTATGTAATTGTCGGGAAGCTAATTAGCATATTAGCTAAATATTTAGATCATTAAATATTATTTTAAAATGATTTTTATAATTGAATGAAAACTGAAAAATGAACCTCCATGTTTTTGCTGAATAAGTTATTGCTCTTCATTTTTCTAACTATTCACTTCGGAGTTAATGTTGCTGTAATTTAATCAGCTGTGATGTCAGAGGTTCCTGTAGCAGTCTGTGCTACTTACATTCCTCCTTATCTTCTCCCATGGTGGAAATAATGACCTTTGACCCCGTTCCTTCTCAAATCTACAGTCATCTCCTTTGTTTTGTTTATGATTAAAGACCGGTCCATGGTTCTGGTCCATGGTTCCGGTTCTGGATACTCTGTGTAACGAGGCGTTCTGATTGGGCAGCAGATGAAGCCTTGTTGCCGTGGTTACCGGGTCACAGCCTGCTCCACCTTCTCGTGCAGGATGATTTATTCAGGTACTGGCAGACGGTCACCACGGCGACAGATTGGCTTCTTGGTGCCAATCTGCGCCAGGCGGTGGCCAGGCAGATCCAGGAGGAACAGGGGTCAGAGGTCACGCTGCTGGTTCACAGGAAACAACTGTTTATCCTGATGTATTCACACCCCCAGCTCCAGTTTGACTTACTAGGACTTACTGGGATGGACCGACAGAGGATGCGTCAGGGGCAGGAAATGATTCTGAAA